TTTTATTTTAAAAATGCTGAAATTTGAATACAACTAGAAATTCATTTGTTTTCAAAGCTGATTTCATCTCTAAATATTTTAATGTTATGAAAATATACGATGGGAAACGATTCTGACGCCTTGCAGGTAAAAATAGATTAGGTGAACTACAGACCATCTATTCATTCAGTAACACACTTGATATCATTTTTATTTTGTTTGCAGGAAAAGAGGCACAGAGAGTTGTCACTACAGACACAGGAGAAGGTGTAAGATAAACAGCAATGTAAATGCTTAAATAGTAAATAAAAGTATATACAAAATTTCCATTAGAAAAAAAATGGTGCTTTCTGTCCCCCAGACCCAACCCCTCAGGCTCCTCCCTAGGGCTGCAACAGAACACCAGTTGCAGGCCTCCTCCCACCAATCATCCTCATCTCCCGTGGATCCCAAAGACCATCTCTTCCTGACCTCCTTCCCCCACACATGGGCTTACAGAAACTCAAGGGCAAGCATGGGGTCTGCATGAGTCTGCACCGGGTCCTTCGTTGTGGCTGTTAGCTTGGTATTTTTGTGGGACTCCTAACAGTGGTGTAGGGTTTGTCTCTGACTCTTTAATTTCAACATATTTTTATTGATTATTTGGGAGTTTCACATAATGCACCCTGATCACATTTACTTCCCTGTCTTCCCAGGTCCAACTCCCCCTTGTGACTCCTCCCAGAAAAAAGAAGAAAAAAAGAAGAAGAAAATACCAAGTCCAATTTGTGTTAGCCATATATTAACTGGAGCATGGTCACACTCCCAGTGGCCAGTCTCTTAAAGAAAACGGAGTCCTTCCTTACTCCTACTCCTGCCAGAAGCCATCAGCTGTGTAGAGCTATACTTCAGGATCCCTATCATATTTTTAAAGAGTTCTCTTCAATGGCTTCCTGCCAATACATTTTTGGGGAATGGGGTGGGAGTGGAGGTAGGGAACAAGGTTGTCACAAAAGTCTTATATCTCTCTCATTCTCCACTGTGAGTCTGCAGTCATCAATACCACTGCAAAAGAAGCTTCCTTGCCCTTTACAGTCAGTGGCAGCACAGATCATGAACTTCCACCTGGTTTCTGGCAGTACAGATCACAGATGTCATCATGGCCAAAGACATCAACATTGCCTCCTGTGGCAACATGGCCGCCGTGACAGCAACATGACTTCAGGTGGCTTGTCTCTGACTCTTTTGCCTGCCCTTGGGACTCTTTTCTTCCTGTTATGTTGCCTAGTACAGCTTCAATGTGAGGGCTCTTGCCTTGCCGTATTGTATTTTGTCATGTTTAGTTGCTGTCTTTTGGAGGCCTGTTCTTTTCTAATGGGAGACAGAAGGGGAGCGGATCTGGGGAAGAGTGGAGGTGGTGGTGGGGAGCTGGGAGGAGTGGAGGGAGGGGAAACTGTGGTTGGGTTGTATTGTATGGGAAAAGAATCTGTTTTCAATAAAAAGTAAAAGAAAAATACTGGAATTGAAATTTAACTATTATGATAATAAAACATGGAGAAACCCAAGTATAATTAGACTGAAAAAGAAAAAAGATGCTATTAAAAGAAAACCTCAAATAATATAATTAAAATATTAAATGTCTAGTTTTTGGTAGACATATTTAATCAATTGCTATCTATTTTTTTAAATAGTGAAGCTATACTTTTCTAATTATAACAAAACCATAAACCAGTGTTCAGATATACCATTTCATAGGTTTCCTTGAGTAGTCTTTGTAAACCTGCCCATTTCTATATTTAGGCAAGTTTACAAGCTGGCTAGCTTAAAAAAAATCTTACAAAGCAGCTTATGTTCTGAAATCCTCCCATTTTATCCAGGCTTATCCCTCAGTGAACACTCATGCACAGTCTGTTCAGGATTGTGATCAGTAAATGAGGTGAAAATTGAAATGAGGTAACTATTAAATGTTCTCTGTCACATATATATTTTCCAGATAACCGTGCTTTCATTCTTGAAATAAGAACCTACCCAGAAATCTTGTCTCTCCCTCGTAACAATGAAGCTACCGGGAACAGTTCTGTTTCACAAATGGTGGATTTGATGAGAAGCATACCGACTAACATCCTTGCAGCTCATTCTGAATGGTCTGATAATTCCCTGGTGCAGTAAACTGATTTTATTTCTAAGTGTTAGACATTTATTACTGGAAAATATACTGCCTGTGTTTCTAGATATTAGCAAGAGTTACATTTGATTGGCCAACAGTTGTGCATTAATGGCCCTCAAGAGAACATAGGGAATACGTGGAGTGTGATAGAGGCCTAGTCTTCTAGCCTAGATTGCAAGTGTATCCCATGACGCATCTAATTTAAAACAGTGGAATGAATATGCTCAGGGGAAGCATTTGGCATTGTGAGTGCTGCAATTCAAAGTATGTGAAAAACAGAATTCTCTGAAGAGCCAGATAATTGGATGAAGGAAACAGTGGGGCTGTTTCTGTTTCTACATTATTTTTTTAATCACACATAGAATTTGTCAAAGTCATAAATATAATCCAACTGTTACAACAGTAATTAATAATTATAAATCTTCGATCACCTAGGATAGTAATTTCTACTATATTTCCAAAACATAACCCTATAAAAGTATCCTTATTAAGTCAAGTCTAACAGTTATTAAATACATAATTTAAAAGTTAAATTATCATCTATTTACAATTAAATGGATAGGGTTTAAAATAAATATTGTCTCATTTCTTTGGATACTATCCTAGAAAAAAAAATATCTCTGAGAAGTTTTGAAAGAATTGGAAAAATTGTATTTTTCCATTTTGAAATAATTAAGAAAATAAAATTAAGTTTCTCAGAATTACTAAGTATACCAGAAAATGCATAATATAGAAAGAATTATTTTACTCCTTCATACCCAGGAGGGAGAGATAATTTTTTGAAACCTATGTGGCTCATAAGAGGCAAAAGCAATGTTACTGTCAGTCTTGCAAGAAATTATTTGTTTCTTCAACCGGCAATGAAGAATTCAAACCACTTTGTTTGACTGTGCGATAAAAATAAGAGGCAATGCATTAGAATGACTCCTTTATTTAATTTATTCTCTTAATTCATTTCAGCAATCAAAATAAAAAGGGGAAATTTTCTGATTTCCTGCCAAGGGATTTTCTCTAAAGTGTGCCTTTTAAATCAAATACCCCACACTGAATTGGGTACACTGCCAATCGGCAAGATGAATGCCTTCATGGGAAGATTTTCTACTGCACAACATGTATGTAATGCCCACTTGGCCTGATTTACTTGCTGCAATGAAAATACATCTCACTCAATATCTTTGCTTGGTGTGATGTCCAAACTACCCTCAGTTGTTTATGAGTGGAGAGTCTCTTCATGGATGCTCCTTTCCCTCCGTTGACATCCTCCTGTTCGGACAAGGCTCCCGATTCCATGCTCACAACCACCAAGTTTGCCATTCTTTCATGGCTGTCCATTCAGGAGAGGAAGAAGAGGTCATTTCTTTTTCTCTTTTTTTGGTACCTAACAGTTAATGAAGTGCCTGACACATGTAGGTGGCCAATCAACATTTTATGAAGGAAACTTACACAAGCACTGTGGTGGTCTGAGTGAGAATGTCTTCCATGAACTGGCTCATGTGGCACCGTTTAGGGGAAATTGAGCAAATGTTGGAGGAATTACATCACTGGGGACAGGCTTTGAGAGTGTAAAGATCTGAGCCCTTTTCCAGTTCATTCTGCGTGTGGTTGGAAGATTTAAGCTCCCATCTGGCTCCTTCTATCACTGTGCCTGCTGCTAGCTGTCATGCTTCTCTGCCATCATGGCCTCTTATCCCGCTGGAACTGGAAGAGCAAATACACTCTTTCTCCTAAAAGTTGTTTTGGTCATTATGTGTAGCTGGAGTTATCTCCAGTCCCGCCCCAGGGCCTGCAGTCACTCAGATCCAAATAAACACACAGATGCTTATATTATTTAAATTGTTTGGCCTAATGGCTCAGGCTTCTTGCTATCTAGTTCTTACATCTTAAATTAACCCATTTCTATAAATCTATACCTTGCCACATGGCTCGTGGCTTACCGGTATCTGACATGTTGCTACTCATGGTGGCAGCTGGCAGCGTCTCCTGCCTCAGCCCTCCTGTTCCCAGAATTTTCTTCTCTGCTTGTCACGCCTATACTTCCTGCCTGGCTACTGGCCAATCAGCACTTTATTTATTAACCAATCAGAGCAACACATTCACAGCATAGAGAATATCCCACAGCAATTATGTTACATCACAGCTATAGAAAAGTAACTAATAAAAACATAAATGAAGTTATAAAACCTATACCCCATTTACAAAACACTAAATACTGTTACTGATGACTGGAGGTGAATATAATGTTACAAAAAAAGACTGAGTGAAGCTTAAATATTTTTTTCCATTTTAAACTCAATCATATACGAAGTATAATATATAGAAAATGTGACTGGAGATAAAAGAAGGGAGCTGTTTACAGGACTCTCAGTTGTGTGTGGATGGAACCACGTGAAGATGGACGTTCTCCCTTAGGGCAATGTCACTTGTCACTTGGCAGACACCAAGAAATCAGTTTTCCTTGAATAAATGTCATAGTCCAGCTTTATTCTCTAGTTTTAAAAAAGATCATTTTCATGAAAAGAGAAGGTCAGGATAAAATAGTTACAAAATATTTACTCTTGATGGAAAAGTTCCCTCCATGATACACATGCCTGTGATACTTTATTTATAGAGCCAAATTTCCCCCAGGACTCTGAACATTGCACTAACTGTAAATCAACCAGCTTTTACATGCTCTTTAGGCCAAAAGACATGACTGGCTCTATCCCAGTTTAACTGTCCAACTCATATCCAGGAGGTAAATAACACCATCTGACTCCAATAGAAGTTTACATTAAAAATTCCTCTTCAGGCTGGGCATGGTAGAGCACTTATTTAGCACATGCAAGATCCTAAGTACTGCAAAGAGAAAAAAAATCAGCAAGCAAAAAAGTCCTCTTCATACATATATACCCCAGTAAAACAAATTAAATATTATATAAACGATGGGAAATACAATTCTAGAATAGGTATCAATGGCATGGTTGTTTTCTAGGATGATTCTGCCAACATTTCCTCCCATAGACTTTCTCTTTATCCGAGACAAATCTGTACAGGGGCTCCCTGTGAACTTTGCTCTCATGGAGTCTTCTTCTGAGTGTAGAGAGAATGAAGTCTGGTCCACATCAGTCTCGCTGTCATGGTAGCAGCCATCGAAGGCCATGGCTTGAACTGCATCAATATTGTACGTTCCAGAAATCTGTCAAAAAGACTTTTCTTTAGTGAGTCACAAAAAATGATGTTATGGATAGGAACTACAGAAAATGCAAGTCAGGTATTAAATAGTTTCCATGAACATTAAGCTTGTCTTGCCCATTATTTAAAAAACAGAATTCTAATTTTGCTTCTGGCATCTAACTAAAAGAATCATTTAATAATAAGTGGGAAGCATCGTCTTACAAATTCTGAGGTAGCAAGGAGGTGTATATTTAATTCCATGCGGTATTTAGGCATCACATAATGTTATTCAAGTACAATGTCAATAATTTCTAATACTATCCTGAGCTGATACACAGTTGCCCCAGATATTTGCACTCCTCTTTGTTCTGATAATATGAACAGTCTGTCATGGCTTTGTGAGTTGAGGGTTAATATGATTTTTCACAGCATCAATATAGGCTCCTTGGATTAGCTTTCCAACTTACTTTTCCTCTTTTACGAGAACATAATAATACATAGATCCATGTCTTTTGTTTTAGTTTCTGGTCTCAAACCAGAACAATAGTAACTGTCTACTTAGACTCCAGTTGGAGGTGAGTTAGTGAAAGGGTTTTATTTGCTTTTTAAAATAAAACTGTCCAGGCCTTCCCATTTTTGCCTAAAACTACTTCTAAGTGATGCTAACAAAGTCCAATAAACTAAAATGAAATTGGCTTATTTTTCTGAAGAAGAATTATCAATGATTTCTAGCCTGATTGAATCTGTGCTGATTTTTTTCTTTTGAGTTTTGCTTTGGGAGGTAGTGGCACTCACTAGCATGGAGCAGTGTCTAGGAAGCAGCTGTTAGTAATTGCTTTTGGAGAAAATAAAATCCTTCTTGAACTTTGGGGGAGTTGAAAAATGAGCAAATATGGAAAGGCTACTCTAGACAAAATTATTCAGAATTTAAATTGGAGGATGCAGAGTCAACTCTATCAAAATGTGTATTTGGTTCATTGCAATTTAAAACTACGATATTTTACTGAATTGAAAAGACACAGAGGCTTCTATGCAGTCAGTTAACTAAACCACTGGAGACCCATACATTTGAATTACATTACTTGTTTTTGTTTTAATGACAGGAAATCTCTGTAATAAATTAAATATGGACAAAATAAAGATGCATTGAAGTTAAGACTGAAAGTCTTATAATGTTCAACCAAAAATTTAAGTATATAATAGCTACAATATTGTCAGTGGTTTTTTTTCCTATCCAGAATAACCACTGGGCCATCTCACCTGCTGTCTACTTTTTATCTGAATAAATGCTATCAGCATGTTTAAGAAGACTAATCTTTAAGGAACAGGAGTATTATTTTCTTTCTCCATATTGACAATCTAGAATTACCCAGGTCATTGATCAAAGCTTATAGTCCACAATTTACCAACAAGCTACTATTTTCCCAGGTTTGTAAGTGAGCTGTGTGACAAGAACAGATTTAGAAATGGTCTTTACTTTTTGTCTCTAGACCACAGATCTGACTGTTACAGACTGAGTTCTCTGATGACAGATAATACAAAGTAACTTCCCTTTTCCTTTCTGGGCTAAGTTCAATACTAAGGACAGTTTTAAAAATTATTACCTGTGATCTCAGTTCCTGGTCTTTAGTGGGTGGCTGAGATGTGTGTGTGTGTGTGTGTGTGTGTGTGTGTGTGTGTGTGTGTGTGTGTGTGTGTGAAAAAGCATATGGAAGTCTACTCCTTGTAACCCAAATTAAAAATAGAAAAGAGAGATGAAGGGAGTTACCTTGCATAGCCAGATAATTCTCCTCCTTAGAAGCTGTGGGTTAACTAAACAAATTCCCAGTTTGAGACATGGGATACTTTCATAGGAATTGTTCAGGGAGGCCCCCCAAAGGCCCTCAAACTATACAAGTTATTGTCAACCCTCTTGGTTGTTCACAACAACTAGGGTATAAGATCCTATTGTTGAACACACCACACAAATAGTGAAAGTAAGTTCAAACTGAGCTGTAAACCTCCTGCCTGCTAGTTACCTTTCCAAGTCCTGGAGTGTGCTATTCGGGCTAGCGGGGGAGAAGAGGTTCAAATGTTTTAACCAACTGCAAGTCCTGCAAATCACAAAACCAGCCTGATAGGAAAGATAGACACACCAATACACACCTCCAATAGCGGCATGGCTGTTGGAGTTAACAAATCAACTTCTGTTTGGATTTAAGGCCCATGTATGGTACTATTTTCCTTGTTAATAACCTGGGGAAGTAATAGGCTCAAGAAAGGAAACTTACTACTACTGTTTAATTAAATTAACACAGCATCAAACCGCCTTTTAAATATCCATGTTTACACACATAGGAAAAAGCTACACTTCACCCCAATCAGACAAGTCTCTCCTTGCAGTGACTGTAGACTTAATGGCTCCTCAAGATGCCAAGAATAAGTGATGAGTAAAGGCTCATCCCTGGACAAGACATTCACACTACCTCCTATAAAGGTCAGGAAACACTGTGTAAGAGGGAACAGAAGGTATAGAAGAATGGGGAGATGTGGTGAATGGCTGATAAATGCCACCCTCTAGATTCTGTACTACAAAATCATGAACACAGATGAACTGTGGGTACCTTCACTGGCCACACAACAAACTGCCCCGTCAATCACTAGTCTGGATGAAGGAAGAGCTCATGGAGACCTACGCATTACAGATTAACTACTGGTTATTGATAGATTCTGGAAGAGGGAGAGTAATTGTCTTGAGTTGAGGATCCACTACTGAGCCCACCAAGCTCCAACAGACAGCCTCATATAGACAGCCTTGGTTAAACTGAGAGGGGCTTGGACCCGCCTCAACTGAATGTACCAGGCTCTGCTGACTCCCCATGAGAGATCTTGCCTTGGAGGAGGTGGGAATGGGGAATGGGTTGGAGGGGAAGGCTGGAGGGTGGGAGGAGGAAGGAGGAAGGAGGGAGGAGAGGGGAATCTGTGGTTGGTATGTAAAATGAATAGAAAATTCCTTACTAATAATAAAAAACTAAAATGAATCAGCATGAATTTCAGAACAGGAGAAGCCCTGGTAAAAGCAGTCAGTGTGTATAATGTCCATGTGGAAACTTGTTAAAGAACAAACTTAACTAATAATAAAAACTTTCAGGTGGTATGAATAAGTACATTGTGAGGCAGGTAAGAGCAGGAAGGCATACTTCAGAATCAAAGAAAGAGATGAGTGATCTCAGTCTACTGCAGCGTCTGGTCCTTGGATTAACTACTCACCACGTTAAAACAAAGGAAAACATCTTTCCCTCTGTACACAATCTCCCCCATTTGTCTTTCATGACACATATTGTGCAAACCATTCCTATCCCAGTGTTGGTAAGGACCAGTGGCTTCAACATCATGTCAGAGATCTATATAGAAGCTGAGGTTTTACCTCCATCCTGCCAAGTTAGGCTACGCAAGAACACAGCTAATGCCCTCTAGTGCCACATGCAACTGAAAGCTCATGATGTGCTCACACCTGCATGCACCCCAGGATGCGTGTGTGTATGGCAAAGCCTCAAATAGTCAACAAAAGAAAGATGAGCATGTAGAATAAAATATTCCGTCCCTGTAGGGCTTTGAATCGAAGGCCATAAAGTGAAAGATTGACATTATCCTCAGAGGCCTGAATTGGAAATCAGTTTTTCTGTGTATCATCTGTCAAGTCATTCTATTTCCTCAAGATTCTGCTTCTCCATTTATAAGTCAGAGAAGATTGTTTCTGCACAACTTAAACAGGGGACCTGATGTGAAGTCTCAGTGGAAGATGATATTAAAAATCATGTGAAAGTGAGAAATGCTCTCATTAGAAAAAAATAAAATATCAAACAATGTTCTGAGTATGCACAAATGCTCATATGACAATCTGCAAACCTTGGGGCTGGAGAGGTAGCTTAGCAATGAAAAGCACTTACTGCTCTCGTAGAGGACCTGGGTTGGGTTTCCAGTACTCACATGGCAGGTTCTATAGAATCTGTAACTCCATTTCCAAGGGATTATATGCCCTCTGCTGGCCTCTGTGGACACTGTACACATGTGGTACACAACATACATGCAGGCAAAACATTCATACACACACACACACACACACATACACACACACACACTATCTCTAAAGTCAGTGTGAACATATTTCATTAAAATCATGTGTATGTGCACACAGAGAGATTGCTTCTTGAATGTAGTTTTAGCAAACAAATGGGTGAATCTTATCAGTTAGGATTCAGAGGTGCAATATCTTATATAAGTTTTCATAAGTACAGGAGACTGATGCCCAATTCCTTGGTGAAATAAAGTACCAAAAAAAGCAACCAATACATTTGTTAAGCAATGTCAAAAAAATGATGATCACTTTAAGAGTGCAGAAGATACCCTATTGCTGAGATATTATGGGGAGGAGAACCCCTCTTTTTGTTTTAACACTTTTCTAAGTGACAAGGAAAAAAAGCCGTATCATTATTGGTTGAGAGCAGAGCCTTTGGAGTCATAGACTCAAAAGCTGATCCTGACTGCCCTTTAGCTCTGTGACCTTGGAGGCACTTACTTTACCTCTGTGAAATGAAGGTGAGAAAACATTGACCTCTCAGGGCAACTATGAAAATCAAATCAAATATTTTAGGCATTGGCATAATTCCAATATAAAATGAACACTCAATACATTCTAGCTACCATCACCATCACCACCACCATCACCACCACCACTACCATCATCATCTATTAGAAAGCATGTGGTTTGTACAACAACCCCTTTTTTTAATGGGACAGAGTCAGTGGACCAATGCACACTGAGAAGAATTCTTCATGCACAAAAGCCCCTGGTGAGAGTGAATGAGGATGCTGAAGAGAACAGCCAGCATGGAGCAAATTAAGGTTACACATTACACTGTCACAATCTTGCTCACATGTCCCTTATCAAGGCATTTGGATTTAATGCAAGAGTTTTAAGAACTGTAAGTAGAAGTTTACTAAAGAAGTTAGTCTTTGCCCCTGGGATGATTATTGCTAATTGTCATTTTAACAGAATCTAGAATCACTTGATAGGTGGGCCTCTGGGCCTGTCAGTAGGTGATCAACTTAATTGTATTGTTTGAGGTGCGAAGCCCCTCCCACTGTGGGTGGTACCATTCCCTGGCTAGGACCCCATATTATATAAGCCAGTGGTTCTCAACCTTCCTAATTCTGTGATCCTTTAATACAGTTCTTCATGCTGTGGTGACTCCAATCATAAAATTATTTTCATTGCTACTTCATAACTGTAATTTTGCTACTGTTATGAATCTTAATGTAAATATCTGTGTTTTCTAATGGCCTTAGGTTATCCCTGTGAAAAGGTTGTTCGGGCCCATGGGTCACGCCCCACAGGTCGAGGACCATTGATATAAGGGAAGAAAGGGGCATTAGCTTGCATCGTTCTCTGCTTCTGGCTGGTGGATGCAATATGGCCAGCTGCTTCAAGCCCCCGCTGCCTCGACATTCCCACCATGATGGTCAATGCCCTTGCACTGTGAGCCCAAATAAGTCCTCTTTCCTTGAAGTTGTTTTCATTAGGGTATTTTATCACAGCAACAGGAAAAGAAACCAAGCCAGCCACATTTTGAAAAGAGTTGACACTCAAGGCAAAGCTGTACCTTTCCTCTCCGGTTGAGCTGCTTCCACTCCTCCACTGTGGTGAGGTAATTCACTGCTGCATACTCAATGACTGACAGAAACACAAAGAGGGAACTGACCCACATGTACACGTCCACTGCTTTGACATAGGACACTTGGGGCATGGAGGCGCTCACCCCAGTGACGATCGTGGACATGGTGAGCACCGTGGTGATTCCTGCAGTTCAAGGAGAGGGGGAGACAGACTCAGTGACACAGTCATTCCATGACGGGATCATCAACACATGTCCCTTGAAAACACAATCAATCTGGTGTCCCAGAGCTGGCGTGAACCTCTGCATGATAGCTTTAGACACACACCTAAAGGTTCTCATTGGATTTTTCTTTCCACCACTGTTTCCCACAGAGTCCTTTCCTTTCACCGAAACACACAAAACCCAACATGTTTAGAGCCTGTCCTTCAGTGAGCAACTTCCAATCAAAGGGAGTTCATTTTTTCTCAGTTGACCTTAAGTACTATTGGGACTACTATTCTCCATATTTTTCTTTCATCAAGAATGCTAAAAAAAAAAAAAAGCCACCATTACTTCCTTTGAACTTCCATAAATGAAATGACAGTTCAACTGAAACTTAGAGTGCATGTGTGCTGCTGTTGGAGGCTGTTTCTGAGCAGCTGGTAAATGTCGATCATTACTCCTTCTTTCTCTCCTCCCCTCCATCATTGTTCTCTTCTCTTCCTTCTCCTTTTCTAGAATCTAGAAGCCTCCCCCTTCCTTTTCTTCTTTTCCTTCTGTCTTTTCTTTATTTGTTCTCTTACATGAGCAATACAGAGGAAGAGATCTGAGTGCTGGGAGACAAATGGAGGAAGAAGTGACTCAGATTTTACTAAGACACTACCCATGGGAGCTATTCGATTTCTACCCCAATCTCTCAGAAGAATATTGCTAGACTACTGTCTGGAGAGAAGGTACAATGTTGTAAGTGTCTGAAATGCACACTGGCTGGGGTGGTTTCATTTGTTAACTTTGCACCAGGGAAGTACAAATGAAATCCTTGATGAACCATGGAGTCCCCAACAGCAGGAAGAGCACTGTGATTTACTCTTGCCTGAGAGACACTTTTGCCAAGACGCTTCTATCCTTTCTCCAGGACTATGTGAGGCGCTCCTCCCAGAAAGGCCTATGTCAAACACAATGGCAACTCTATAGAGCCACTCAATTTCAAATGAAGTTTTAGTTTGTATAACAAAGCACATTACAGCTTGGTAGTTTGACAGTTATCATGGGAAAAATCTAGAATCTCATCTTGACACCGACTTGAATTTCTAAACTCTCTATTCTAGCTCTTAAGCAAAGGGACTGTCTCATTCAATCTCAGGTCTCCAGGCAACAACAGTAACAATAAATAAATAATAAACCAATAAATAAAAACAATAACAACAAACAGTCTACATGCAGCTATATGTTGTTTTTGTGCTTTGGCTTCAAAACACACTTGTGACATAAACATGGAGTTGTGAATTTTTTATTAATGCAACACATACATCTGAAATCAAGATTATAGCTCAAAAGTTGTTTGCTTTGAGTCTACTTCCTGCTGCCTTCTAATCAAGATGTAGCCAGTACCATGTCTGCCTGCACGCCATGATGATAATGGACTGAACCTCTGAAATTGTAAATGAGCTCCCTCAGTTAAACATTTTCCTTATAAAAGAAAAAAAAGTTGTTTGCCTCAATCAGATATTTACCTACCAGGCACTTTGGTAAATGTTGGCCATAGATTACAAAAATGAAATATATGCTGAGAACAGCTGAGTGATTGGCCCACAGTTTGTCAGGAACAGGATTCAGATATCTCCCTGTCAGTGTTAAGCCTGTGGTGTTTTTTGTTGTATAACTACTGCCACTCATTTTGGACCTGGAAGGAAATATCTTTTGTTTATAAGATTGCAAATCAATTTCCATATGTGGCAGATCTCTGAGACAAGATGCTACAAAGTACTGGGGGGATATGTGAAAAGGCACGAAGAGGGTGCTTTGTACTTTCAGTGGGCCAGAAATCTTAAAAAGATGTCCTTCTAGGAATGGAGGAAATCCTGAGCTCACATTCTTATACAGTAACTTCCATCATAGCATCAGTAGATCAAAATAAATTAAATGTCTTCTCTTCATTTTATAAGACATGGAGCATAGAACATCAATGTTTTTCAATAGACAGCAGTTTGGATTTAGTGGATAAAATAATGGTTTAGAAAAGTTACAAGTGTGCATGAGTTATGAATATACTCTGGAATCATTGACTATTTGGATTAATAAAAATGAACCACAGTATCTATATTTGCCAGGGAAGAATTAACTATCAATCATTTTCTTTAAAAGGATGCCTAGCCCAACTAATTTACCACTCTTTATTTAAATAACCAGCAGTCCAGATTTTCATTGCATAAAATCAGCAATAATAATAATGATAAAATTAATGAGAGAGTGGGGAGGAAGAATGGTTGGATAGGGGGAGTAAACGGTAAGATAACTGACATAAATTCTTAGAGCAATACAAGTGGAAGTTGGGACTATTAGAGCCACATTAAACACACTTATTATGTCTTGAGCCATCCCTTGGAAATACATTAATCTTGACAAATGGTTTTCCTTGCAGATCCATTAAAGTTAACATCCCAGTAAAGGGGTTTTGAATCACATGAACTGACCATTTATTCAAGGAAAGGTCTTATATTACATTAGAAAATTACATTCCCACCTACTGATATCAGTATGCATAGTTAGAAAAGTATTATGAGAAAATATTTAGTCAGGCCATTTGTCTCAGCCCCCTGAGCCCTCACAGTTTCACCATATTAACTTTTAATCACATGCGTGTGTGAATTAAGGGCTGTCTGGGGAGAATTCTTCATGTTCGTGTTTCATTGACGGGCATGGTAGAGCAGCAGTTCATTAACCACAATGACAGCAGTAGGCAGGCAGTCATCCACTTGGTGGATGTCTGACTTTCTTCACCCCTTCAGTGGATGTGCTATAAACAGTTCTCCTGAGGGAGGGCATGGTCTTCATTGGCCTTCATGTGAGTAAGAACATTTTTCCTATGCCTATAGGCACAATGACAATAAGAAGCATATAAGGGAGAGATATGGATTGGATATGGCAGCACCACTCAGTGGCCAGAAGCAGCAATTTCCACCCATAGGGGTACCAGTGTCCAGTGGTTGTTATTAGAGGTTTCGGTCATCTCTGTGGTAGCTACATAAATTTCTCTTGCATGTGTGCACTCATTTGAGCCATTTTATATGATGGAATGTGAAGTTTACATGGTGTTTTTATAAACCAAAGTACAAAGGCTATTTTGAGGGAAACCCTCAGTTACAGGAATCAAGAGGAGAACTAGGCAATTTCTTGATCAGTTCATTTATTATTTGTGGTACTGTTGATCAAACACAGAGCTTTGCACATGTTATAGTAAGGTCTCTACCACTTCCTATCCTCCTTTTCAATGAAACACCACTTCTATTCAAATGAACAAGGCAAATCAATCACTCCAATTTGAGGATTTGGCAGTGATTTCTTAAACTTGGGCTAATCACCGTACCACATCAAGTGAAAGAACAATGCTGTTCATTGTTAACCATGTGACCCACACTTTCAAGCCCACGCTAGAATGCCACCAAACTTATACATATCATTGTGAACCTCTCAATTTTTATGAAAAATTAATGGTAATATCAATTGTTCTTTTTCTGAGGTTATACAATCAATTGTAGAAATCTTTGGGAGATCTGGAGGTTACTCAGTAAGCTTGTGCTTTTCAAGTAACTAAACCCATGGGTGAAAGACCCGTTCACAGTACAAAATAGACCAGTGGATTTTCATCTAACAGGCAGTTCTAGCTTCCACATTGTGACTAACTTCACAGAGAAACCCTGTCTCTAAAAACAAAAAAAAAATCACTTCCTGAGCTATTTAATAAGATCATACTTGTCATTATTTTCAGTGAAAATTTATTGCAACAGTCTGAAGAAATCAATAAGACCACTTGTCTGAATATAACATCTGGAACTCTGAACTACTAGAAGAAAATATAGGGAAACACTTGAAAACATTGGTACAGGTGATGAATTTTTGGATGACACTCCTGAGGCACAGTAAATAAGAGCAAATTTAGACCAAAGTGGCTAAATCAAATTAAGATGTTCTGCATGGCAAAAGAAACAAACACAATGACCAGACCACCTACATAATGGGAAAATATTTTTCTAACTACCCCATTAGTTTGACAAAAAAATTATATCCAAAGTATAAAGTATACATTCAAAACCTAACAACAAAATAAGCAATCCAATTATTAATGAGCAAGGAATATGAGTATATGCTTTTCAAAAGAAGAAATTCATTGCTGAATGGTGGTAATACATGCCTTTAATCCCACTATTTGGGAGGCAGAGGCAGGTGGATCTCTGAGTTTGAAGCCAGCCTGGTCTACAAAGTGAATTTCAGGACAGCCAGGCTTACACACAGAAACTTTCTCAAACATCTCTCCCCCAAAGAAGAAATTTAAATTTCCAGCAAGTTGCAAAAAAAAAAAAACCAAGTTCAAATTCTTTGTACATATTGGAAATGCAAGTCCAACTACAATTAGTGATCATCTTACCCCAATTACAATGGCCAACAAAGGTATACACACACACACACACACACACACACACACACACACACACACACACACCAAGTTTATGAACAATGGTATTGAAGTTCCTTAAGAGACTAAAAATATATTTACCATATGATCCAGCTACCCCACTTCTGGATATATGTCAGACAGAAACAATATCAGCATGTCTATGAGATAACTGCACACCCATATTAATTACTTCATTGTTCAAAATAGCTGATATCTACAATGCTCAGCCTATGTACATATATCAATAGATGCATGGATGATAGCTATATTTTTCTGTAGTTATAAGGGTAAGTATTAGAATTTAGTTAGAAATTATACTGGTTGAAGCTTCTTTTTGCAGCTAATGGAAGCTATTACAGTAAGCCACAATTGGTCAAAATTAAGAGAACTGACCATGGGTGCCACCCCAACTGATATATCTAAAATACAGCCCTTACCCCTAAGGCCCAGGAAACATCTTGGAAAGGGGGACAGAAAAATTCTAAGAGCCAAAAAAATTGGATATCTGCTGGAGGACTGTGTTTTCTATATAAGACAGGGAATTTACACCTACAAAATCTGAACAGTATGGCTACCCAAGTGAGAACAATGACAACACCACTTGACTTGCCAACATGCATGGGGGAAATCTCCTAGGAGCCCACCCTTAGGTGAAAAACTACAGGTAGTCAGCAACTGCTGAGAGAAGAAGAATTGGTCCTCCATAGGGATGAGTTCCCTAAGTGATTATCCAGTATCAAGTGTCAGCCCTAAAAACACATGAGCAACACTAAATGTCCTCAAGAGGTTGCATTTATGTATCTATGTGTGTATATGTGTAACAATAACAATTATAGGAAAATGACAACAACAGAGATAATAACAGGAGAAGCAGAGTTTGGAGGCAGAGGAAGGGAAACTGGGAGCAGGAGTAGGATGTGGCCAATAAGGGATTAAGGATGATCAAAATATACTATATACGCAATGAAAATGTCACAATGAAATCCCATTTGCTTGGGCAATTAACAAATGCTAATAAAACGAAAAAAGTAGCTACATGGATGAAAATTTCCCACATACAGAATGAAAGACTATTAAGTCATGAAAGTGAGAGCCCATTGTAGCAAGTGGGTGGACGTGGAGGACACTATGTTAAATGAAGTAAGTCAGAACAGAGGGACAAGTTTGGCATATTCCCTCCATGCAGAAGTTATTTTAAAAGTTATGACAATGTATAACACTAATTATAAGAGGGTGGAAAGGGTAAGGAGAGGAGGAGATAGAGAGATGCTAGTAGTGAGTACCCAGACACAAGCAAAGTGGGTTCTAGTGTTCTCTAGCTCAGTAGGGACTGTAGTTTATACTAGCTTACCATATAGTTTATGAATAACTAGGAGCTCAAAGGCACCAAACACAAACTTATGAGGAGGAGGTGGAAATGTGAATTACCTAATTTGGTCCATACACATTACAACCATGTTTTGAAATAGCACACCGTGCCTTGCAGGAACTGCGCAACACTGCATTTAGAAAGGCAAGAAGACAAAGACTGGACTTGAGGGTGGTAGGAAGCAAAAGCCCGGGAACCCAGCAATGCCACGGGAAAGCTGCTATTGGTTGCAGTGAAAGTGGGAGAGGGGTTGCTCTGATTTGGATGCTAATGTACATAAATACACAACATTTTCCTGTCTCTCAGGGATAAATCCAGATACGAGGCGGGATTTCAGAGAGGCTCTGATCATAGAATCTCTGCATTCATACTTCACTTTAGTCTACCAGCTTTCAGAGCTGCCATTATCACCGTATAAATGCATAGCAGTCACCTTGAGAGATACGATTAGAAGTCATGCTAATATGCATTTAGACTGAATGCCTTTCTCAGACTCTCTCGAGGGCTGGCATGTGCCCTCAGACTCTGGTTTGGGTCTATGCTTGCCCATCTTGTCAGGACACAGATGTTCTGATATGAAGGCATAGTCAAAATAATTTAATTTCTCATTCAGATCATATTTTTCCTTGAAGATATTCAAGTCTAAAGTGCTTGCATACTGTGGCTTTTATAGGGGAAAGAGGTGAACAAATTATTAACATTAATAATTTATGCCTTCAAATGATCTTTTGAAGTATGCATAAAATTTGTGAACATTAACTTCAAAAACGATCCTTTCTACGGTGAATTTTATTATAGTTACAATATTGTGAAGCACTTACTGAAATCTTCTCTCAAGATAGAGCTTGACAGGTTAAAAAACACAAAATTGGGGGAAAACAGAAATTGTCCTAAACTAGAAAAGAAGGCAAGTGGCATTAACTCCTGGGTCCTCATTAAGTAACATGGCTTCCAAGTGCTTGGCTTGGCACATCCCACTTTGCAAGGACTCAATGACCACCAAGTGGTTTTGAAATGGTTCCCATAAATCAGGGTGTGTAACAGTAGCATCTAACACGCTGGATGGATTATGTAATCATCCTCGCACGGTGACTTAATGGGTCAGGCTTTGTGTTTCCCCTGAAATCCTACTGCTATTGAATCTCATTGAGTTAAGTTCTAATTTCTCATCAGCACTCATGTTCTCAAATTAAGCATGCTCTGCCCCAGGATTTATTGAGACACCAAAAGTGCAGTGTGAATTACTTTAAGGGTTCTTCCTTCTCTGCTGTAGAACATTTGTCTTACAAAGCCAAATAAACTTGGGTAAGGGATGGGGGTTTCTTTAGTGGCAAAGAAATTTTTTTTTAAGTGAGCTCATTTATTTCTTCATAACCCCACTCTCCTTTCTAACTATCCATCACTCACCTGCTGGTCAGTCAGCAACACCTTCACCCTCAAATGCTCAGTTGCCAAAGAAAGAGTCCAATTACAGCTCGTCCTTGGAGCCAGATAAAGATAAACACTCTCACCTGAACACACAGCCCCAGCCTAACTAATCTACCACTATTTTTACTTCTCCCTGCAGCATCCTCTTTTATTTGCCTCCTTGCCCATCCTTCTATATTATAATTTTACAACAAATGGAAAAACTTTATTTACCCAGGGATACTCTTGCAGGAACAGCTCTCCGGTCAATCCAGAATGAAACCCATGAAAGCATCACCATCAACATGGCTGGGAAATAGGTCTGCAGTACAAAGAAGAAGATATGCCTCCGTAGCACAAAGTTGATGAAAAGCCTGTAGTACCACCCTAGGAGAAAAGGAACAGTTACCATTAGACAGGTTTCTAAGAGACACCATGATTAGCCGCTCGCTGTGCTCTTCAGGGGTCAAACTCTCAGCTATCACAGACCGTGGCATACCCACCTGTGTTTCCTCAACACCAGCCGGTACCTGAGTTTCCATTCTAACACTGTTAGATGGCCTGAACTACAGTCTACTTATTCATCCAAAATGATGCTTAACTCCTATACCCAAGCTTGGGGGGGGGGGCGTTAGTGGTAATTACATATTGTGTGTGGCCTTTAAAGACCCTTTTGCACACTTATGTTGTTTGCAGTGTTTCTACAAGAAGCAAAGGCTTCAGTGCCAATTGATGATTGCATGTCAGAATTCATGTAAATGAAGAACATTTTTATCTGTAAGAAAAGATTTGGAGTAGATCACTGGACCTTAGGTTGGGATCCAGAACACTCACTAAGGGTTCAATCTGCAACAGATTACCAATGGTGATATTTCTTTGTATATTGTTGGAATCATATAAACTCAAGTTGGTGATATTATTTAATCTGATGATAAATACAATTGTTGCCATTTCCATAGCAAAGTGTACAGAATTCTGATTTTTTACATTTACTATAAGGATGTTTACAAGGCAGAAGATTTATATGACCTTAAGAGAAACCAGAAGTTTAAAGCCAAGTTTTCCAACAATCTGTAGGACATCTCTGAGTATTAATCATCATGATGTCTCAGGCTACACTGAATAATTATGTTTTTGGTTTTCTATTCATAATTACTTATTATTTTATTTGATATGCGTGTGGATGTTTTGCTGTATGTATGTATGTGCACTATGTGCATAACTGGTAGCTATGTAGGCCAGAAGAGGACACTAGATCCCCCAGAACTGGAGTTACAGATGGTTGTGAGCTGCCATGCGGGTGATAAGAATTGAACCTGGGTCCTCTGGAAGAGCAGCCTCCAATCTTAACTGCTGAGCCATCTTTCTAGCCCCTTACTCATACATTTTAATGCATAGTAATAACCATGTATCAATCTTTACATTTACTGAAATAAGGTAATAAATAATGAAATGAGTAAAGGCTAAAATATGCTTTATGAATGGTGCATAGACTAATTTTATGTGTCAAATTTTTTGAGATGAAATTATTCAAAACCCAGAGACTATAGGCTAAATTTTAAAACAAGATCACAGGCACTGTAAAGCTAGAGAATTCTTTTATTATTTTTAGTAGTAATTTCTTAGGAGACACAAATAGTAAACCTGTTGGGAGACACAGGTGAATTGGTTTAACATTGAGCACTAGGACAACTACATTGAATTGTGAGGCTCTGCATCCAGCCTCTGATTCTCAGTTAACTGCTTATTATACTTCTCATCTTATTAGATACTAAAATTCTCACTGTTAGCTGACACATATGCCTTGGAACATATATACTTATATACCTGAAGATTACTAACTTCATTAGCAGTGGAAATAAATGATACATCAGGCAGAGTACTCTAAGGTTAGAATAGACACTCCCCTTTGTTCCACTCATTGACCTGGATTTGCACTTGATCTTAGCCAAAAGCTTGCCAAGTGTCACTGTTTGTATCTGTCACTCACTTCACTATGTGTGAAATAGAAAGTTTTGCTTATGCCTGTAGGGTAGAATAATAATATAGCAACCTCTACAGCTTCATATAATTGTTGAAAAATTAAAATAAGGAATAATCACAAAAGTGATTTATAAATAAAGGTAGTATTCGAGTATAGTTACTCCTACAGATGTGTAAAGGGATTGGGTCCAGGAACCTTGGACACTGATGTCTATAGAAATGCAGGTGCTCATTTAAATTCCTTTAGAATTATTTGAATATAACCCATTTATATCTGACCATGTATTTTAAACAATCTCTTTTATTTGTAGTGCGTAATACAATGTAAATGCAATGTAAATAGCTGTTATATTGCATCATTTAGGGAGTTCTGACAACACATAGCTGTATTCATGCTCAGTACAAATATGTTCACCAATATTTTCAACTCACAGTTGGCTGTGTCCATAGATGTGAGAGCAATGGATACAGAGGGTTGATTGTGTCTTTCTGTTTATTATTGAGTTCTTGAAATAAATTTAGATGCCTATTCTTTCAATGAATTATTATTATTTATTATTATTATTATTATTATTATTATTATTTTGCAATGTTAAGGATTAAACCCAGAGCCTTAGAAATATGAGGTAAGTATATATCACTTAACTACACCTCTCTTTATTTAACATTTTTCTAGAGAATTATTATCTGGGATTTGACTGATGGGGCTGGTGCAAGAGATTAACCAGAAGGAAGACCCACCCTGCGGATCAGGAAGGGAAGACCAGGATTGGGTGGACAGTAGGTCAGCAGGGCTCTCTTACCCATTGCAACAGGTCATGCTGCCTTGTAAGAAGATCATCACTTCAGGTAATGTAACAGAGAGTCTGATTTCATCTTTAATATTAAAGTACTGAGAGTTCCCAGGCTCCATTTCTATGTCCCTTTCTACCCCATAAATAACAAACTAAAAACCAAAAACAAATAATAATAATAGTAAACTCCGCAAACACAAAAATAGAACAAAACCACTTTTGGCACCTGGGAAAACTTCAAGCCATCAGTGTCTAATTCACCAAAAGGAACACCCTCGACCTTAGCTCTACCCGAGCCACCATACAACTCCAAGTCAGTTGCTCCTCCCTGTGCTCTCAGCTATTTTCCGACCTGCTAGGCAGTCTGGATTGCTCTTTCTAAGAAGCTCATAATGTGAGTCACAAACTCTTCATACTTTATGTGTGTGGCATCACCCTTTTTAATGTGAACTCCATTTTAGGCATGTGTATGAGAGGCAATCTCCCATTGCCTCCATCAGTAGAAAGAAGCAGAACTAAAGACTGTGAGAAAAGGGCTGGCAGCAATTGAGGTACCATCCAAAGATAGCATTAAAGGCTTCTTTTTTTTTTTTTTTTTTTTTTTTTTTTTTTTTGGTTTTTCGAGGCAGGGTTTCTCTGTGTAGCTTTGCGCCTTTCCTAGAACTCACTTGGTAGCCCAGGCTGGCCTCGAACTCACAGAGATCCGCCTGGCTCTGCCTCCCGAGTGCTGGGATTAAAGGCGTGCGCCACCACCGCCCGGCGAATTAAAGGCTTCTTATGTACCTATAAGTGGTCACCTTTAATCACTTTCTGACACTAAGGCTCCGGATTGTATTAAAAGCATCACAATGAAATGGTGATGATGAGAGTTTCTAACTAATATTGCTCAAGCAGCACTGTCCATACAGTTTGTTAAATGTGTCAGTTAATCTACAAAATCCCAGGAGATAGAGACTATTGTGAAGCTCCATCTTAAAGCTAAAGCAATTGAGGGTTGGATTAAGCAACTCTTCCAAGGTTGTCCTGGTGGTAAGTGATGGAATAGAGTGTGAACTTAGGCAGCTGCCCTTGTACTTTAGTTTGATAACAAATAATTTTCCGGTGCATTCCACACAGGTAGGAGTCTTCCCTTTGTTAATTCAAGGTATTTCCTTTGTAAGTTCAAGGTGAGTTAGAAGAGCATGGGAATGGATGAGGGACAGAGAAACCCTCTCCTACTTGTTGATGTTGCTGGGTGGCCATGGGTTTGTGCAGAGGCAATGGGAGTGGTGAAAGCATTGTAAGAAAAGTAAGACTCTGTGGTTCAGCTACAAATGGAAAGTAAGTCTCTACACCTCCCTCCAATTCCAGCTTTTACCCTGGGAGTCAGATGCATGATTTATTTTATTTATTATTTTTCTTGTATAGTAATTCAAGGATGGTGGTTATAGTTGGTAGTTGTGATGACAGGAGTAAAGAAAAAACATTTATAGTCATTTTGATAAAGCTAAAATGTTTAAATGGGAGGGCACCACACTTAAAATTGAAGGATAACATGAGGCAGAGCTGCTACCTACTCATGAACTGAAATCAGTTTCTAAGGTCATCTTTCTGAAGCTTGGGAACTAGTTAAATCTGGGTGCAACTATTAACTTGATATTTGAACATAGCTTTCAAAATGCTGTGTTCTTGCATTTTTCTACTCTTAGAACTCATTTTATTCCTTCTCGTTAAAAATGTGCATGTTTTAACAAAATTATAACTGAAATAAAATTGAAACTCTTCCCAATCTCTATCCACTTCTTAGAATTTTAAAACAGACTGGCACATAAAAACATACCCACATGTGTATAAATTATTTCCCCAGTAACAAATATGAGCTTTTGTTAAAGATTCTTCTATTAGTTACTTTTAAATTTAAAACAAACTACATCATGCTGTACAAAACTGGACATCTGAAATTAATTCGGTCTTAGTCCATTTTTCATAGAAACGAACGTTCTATTTCTTAAAAGTATAATCAAACTGGAATGCTAAGGCTTCATAGCTCGTTTAAAAAATACTTAAAAGCATCTCTGTGAACAGATTTTCAGTGATGTTTTGTCTGATTTTTGACAGACCCTAAAACATGGAGAGCTGCCCGGGTGATAAATGGTAGTAGAGTGAATGGAATGATTTAGAGGTAGAGTTAGAAACTGGAAGACTTACCCTCTACTTTTACTTCAAATTTGGTTGAATTTCTACCAAATATATTCCTGGATATTTAAGCTTCAAAATCCTGTGTTTCCTATGTATCCCATTATGATAACATTTAAAAGACAGATTATAGACATAATTTATCATGTATCAAAGTTATTTTAACACAGAAATAATGAAGAAAAATTGAAACTCATATATATCATTGTCTACCATGTACATTCATTTATTTAAATACTAATTTAATTGAACTGAGGACTAAAGATATTAAATTCCTGACATCACATATGAAAAAGGAGCCAAAGAAGCAAAAAACTGAGTCACAACAGCTTGTCTGCTTGAAGTGTGTTTAGTACTCCAAGGGCTCTTTGAACTTTTGAAACTCTTTTTGAATTTTCCACCACGTATTCATCTATTCAACAATTTCATTCTGAGACTCTTCTATGTGCCAGGGATATATAAGTGATCAAGGAACACAAATGTGTGTTATTTGCATATCAGAAAATGCAAGGAACATGATTACAATTAATAGCATCATGTGTTGAATGTCAAAGAACACAAGCCAACAGTGAAATGCAAGCAAGTGAGACAGACATTTATTTCTCCTGATCCAAACAGCTAGAGACACATTGGTCCCTGGGTTGCAATTAGTCTCTTTGAGATTTAAATTTTGGTTGTACTCTTAAGACACAGACTTTTACAAAGATAACTCAGTATCTGCTCCTCAAGCTCCAAGGCTGAGCATGTGGGAAGGATTCTAGCCAGGGCAACTCCAACCTGGAAGGCCAGCTGCACCCACACCTTGTAGCCTGAACCCAGCTCCTTGAACCACAAATGATATTTTATCTCCCTAGAATGACAGAGAGTACTTGTCACTAGCCTGATGGTGGATAATGGCTGTGGGGGTGTGATATTGTGGAAGAGATCAGAAAGAGGCTGCTCCTAACTTTAGTTAACAGCCAGATCAGTTTTTAAAACTCCTGGGATAAATGCTACCAAATCAGAAATCTATAAGTCATGGTGAAGAGTATATACTGTACTTCTGATTTTAAACAGATTTTCTCTTTAGGGCAACAGTGCACCTTGTTAACTCAATTGTATCAGTTGATTTTTACTGAGCATCTAACATATGTCAGGCATATTCTAGGATCTGGGAAGAAATGGTTAGCAAGGCAGATAGAGTTCCTGACCTCTTTCCAAAGAGAGACTTAGACAATAGACAATGAGGCGTCTTCTTCAGTTGGAAGTACATGCTGTGAAGACAGGAAATAGTGAGGAAAGAGGCCTAGTTTCAAAGGGCTAACTAGGATATCACCATTTGGGAAGATATTTCACAAAGTGATGACTAAAGCAGGCAATTGGTCATGAGATATTGGGGCAGGGGCAGAGCAAAGCCACATAGGAGAAATGAGATGAGAGTGTCTGAGAGCAAGTGAGGGGGAAGTCGAGGACCATATGATAGAGGAGCAGGGGTTGGTGGGAGGTCAGAGCAGCACGCAGGGTGTAGATCATTGAGAAGCTTGCCTTGGTTCTAAGTGTGATGGGAAAACACTAAAGGGTTTTGAGCAGTGATTTCCGTGTTGCGAAGATCGTTCTGGAAGTTCTACTAAGCATAGAGTGGAGGGGCCAGGAACGGAATCGAGGCATCTTGTTGGAAGGGTTTGCACAAGCGGGAGAGAAAGATGTTTACATCACAGGCAGTGGGCGCTCAGCAGTGGCCACGGAACTGTCTGAGTGCAGCGCCGTACCTGTGCTGCTGTAGAAGGCCAAGCCACTGGATGCGCTGAACTCCTCAATGAAAAACTGAGAAAGGGCGATGTGCTCCTCCGTGTTCAAGGACTTGTTGCCGTGTTTCCAGTAGAGCATTAGGTCCTCTTCATTGTAGGCGTCTACAGAAATACAGACGGTTCCTGTCTTAGAGGTTAGGTGAGGTCTGTAGCCGTGTTTGAGCAGCTCTGAACCCCCAGTCTCTGGTTCAATGGCATCCAGGTGCTATGTATCCAAAGATATTTTCCAAGGGACCAAACAAACCTGCACTTCAAAAAGGAAACAAACCCAACACCAGCCCCACATCCATCTCTAAAATCCAGAGACTGAGGACTGTCAGGATGGAAGTGTTTCTCCCTCTGTGATGCTTACAGTTCTCCAGTGTACCTATCTGTGTGCATTCTCATACGAAATTAAGCCAGGCCTCAGGGTAAGTAAGGCCAGAGCACCGCCTCACATGGGCCGAGTCCATACCTTTAAATTTCTTTAATGTACCTCTCTTGGATGAAATTCTTAAGTGAATCTTATGATTTTTTTTTCTTGGCTTATAAAACGTTTGTAATAGGTGTGTACAAAGGAACAGATGTGTAGGCGGTATGCATCAGTTTCGGTCAACATTTAAGCTGTCTTATCAAAAATAAATATTGAGTAACAGTAATTGGCAGGGAGCTGGAACAGAGACCCTATACCGAAGTCGGTGCTCTAAGCTGGGTTCCTGTGGGGAGCTTGGGCATGTTTAATAGAGGATTGGGGCTTGTCCAGATTTAGGATTCCAGGACCTTCCACATGTGGAAAATCGGTGCTAACGTTAGGAAGCCGCCTTTTTATTGCTATTGTGAAAAACACAGAATATTTAATTACCAAAGCATTTTCCCCTGAATCTTCTCATTTGAAAGACAATCTGTCATCATCATCACTAGAAAAAAGAGAGGTGAAAAGGAACACAATATAACTGGAAAATACGGTAAGATGGAAAAATATGGTACGATGTTTAAATGATTGCTAAACCCATGCTTATTTCCCTGCGAGTGTGTGAGGGTGTGTTCAGACGATGATGCAGGCTTGTTTTACCCAGGCAGAAAGACTTACAGCTTTCCAGCTCCAGAGAACAGTTCTGAGTGTCCAGAGGAAACCTGCTGAAGTCCATAAAGCACATGGCCGAAACGGTTATCCTGTAACGGAGTAAGAAAGAGAACTGCGATCATTTCTCCATATGGCCCAACTAGCATGCAGCAACAAAGCTTCTCATTGGTTGCTTGCTTTGTGTGCCTTTCAAGGATAATGAAAAGCAGGCCTGCCTGTCTTCTGTCCAAATAACAAGAAAGCAAACTCAGAAGGACCGGGATTGCTCAAGACAGACATTGATGAGTGAATTCTTGCACTTGCTCCTGATTTCCCCATTTCCTGCTAAGCTCCTTTTGCATTTTCTGGCACTGATTTTTTTTTTTTTCTTCAGAAAAATACTTCAAAGTCAGATGCTTTCTGTGGATTTAAACTTGTTCTGCTCTCTAGAAGATGCAAAATTTAGTAGTCTCCAGTAAAAAAGAGTTGGGGTGGTGACGATACAAATCTATAGGTAAAGGTTTCCTTCACAAAGCACTAGGAAATTTTCCTTCTGGTACTGAGGCAAAGCCGGAAACATGTTCAGCAATAGATCTACATGCATAACATATGATTCAGGAACTATTAAGGCAAAGGCTTGCGTATTGATGAGGCTTATTTTTTTTCTTAAAATTTCATATTCTCCTGGATTCTCCTGGCTTCAGGCAGAAGCTGCCATCCTATGATCGTGCGTCAAAGTGAGAGCTGTGGTAGCCACAAGAGCAGATGAGAGGTTCCTAAAAGGCCCTGAGCAAGTCTGCAAAACAAAGGCAACAGATGCTCCTGCCCGGTGCCCCTGAGTTACTCAGAAGAGTAGAATCATTTTATCTTCTGTGACCTGAATTTTATTGTCAGTAGTCAAAGCATCAGTAATAGAGTTGTGTGGATGCTCTTATGTGCAAAACACACACTTAGTCTGGTGTGTTCCTAGTACATTAAAGGAAGTGTTTCCTGAGCTCTTTATACCACTTTGCTTCATAGTATACATGAAGAAAGGAATGGCTGAAGAGGATTTTGGCTAGGTGGCCTCAGAACCCAACCTGATATCAGGAGACCTGGATCTGTGCCTGAACTGGTTCTTTTGTTGAAGAGCTGTGCTCACAACAATTTTGAGTCCTCTTGAGTATGGGCATCTTTAAGAACGCCTCCAGGGTTAAACTTCCTCAGAAAGACTCAAAGAACTCAGCTATTATGCTCATGGGTACACCTGAGTGAGAAGCATTGCACTTTATATAGTGAGGATTAAAACAATAACCAGAGAAGGAGAAGAAGGCCAAGTCCAGGAGAGATCACAACACATTTCAGTTGTCCTTCCTGGAAAGCATGACATCTTCCTGCCAGTAGTGATATATATGGCACCATGCACAGAGCACTGGGGACCAAGAAAACTCACGAAGACCTTGGTGAGGAAAATGTTAACTGACAGTTGACCAGCCAGATGAGTGATCTTAGTTTCATCCTCTCCAGAGGTGAGAATAATATCATGGCACAAGGAACATGTGATAAACACCATGAGCATATACTCTCTGGTATGGCTTATGGACTCCAGATGAAGAGAAATGCTCTTCTCGGGCAAGATAGTCCAAGAGATTAAAGATGACTTCATCATTATCTGCCTGGCAAGGGCCAAACAGACATTGGAATGTGCAAGGTAAACAAGATCCACAGAGTTTATCTATTACTGTTCATTCTCTCACCAAAGTAACTTGGTCGGCTCTTTGGTATGATTCTGTTTTTGGTTCTTAGTGACTTTTGACACTAGTATTTATGAGTCTTATAGAAAACAGTACTGGAGTGGGGTGTGGCTGGAGAGATGGCTCAGCAGTTAAGAGCACTGACTGATCTCCCAGAGGACCAGGGTTCAATTCCTAGCACCCACGTGGCAGCTAACGACACAAGATCTGATGTTCTCACACAGACATACATGCAGGCAAACCAACAATGAACACTAAAAAAATGAAGAAAACAGTACTGCTCACTAATTACCTTTATAGCTTTTTATAAATGGCTGATGATAGCTACTCTGTGAATGATATTTCTAATGAAAAGAATTTTCTTATTGCTGCTGTAACAGCTAATCACAGCATAAATGTATTTTTTCACCGTTCTGCAGGCCAGAGGTCTGATTAGAATCACTGGTCCAGAATTACTCTTGTAAGACTTCTTAGGGGAACATCTCCTCACACTGGTTGACACCAGCTGTCCTTGGCTTGGGATCTCATTGCCAATTCTTCTTTTGTGTGTATGAGATTTCCTCTCCCTTTTCTATTAAGATTCTTATGCTGCATCTAAAGCCCATACAGATTCTACAGGACCATTTTCCCAAGTTGAGATCATCAATTTAGAGCTGGGTGTGGTGGCATACACCTTCAATACCACTACTCGAGAGGCAGAGTCAGGCAGATCTCTGTGTTTGAGGCCAGTCTGTTCTACAAGTAAAGGTCCGGGACAGCCAGGGCTACACATAGAAACCCTATCTCTAAAAACAAACAAACAACAAATAATTAACTTAATCACATTTGCAAGTACCCCCCCCATAGAACAACTCACACAGTTTGCAAGGATAAAGACCTCAGTTTTTAAAACATACTATAGACCCTGTCTCAGTGTTCTAGAGCATTAAAAAAGCTAAATAGCTTGGACATTTCCTTTTTTTTTTAAAGAATTTCTATTATAAGCTGCTCCATATGCATAGAACTCATTTGGCTAAAATAAAATATGGATCATTAAAGATGAAAAGCCTATAACAGCACAGTGCTGGAATACATGTTTTAACTAAAACAAACAAAAGAGTGAGTGAGAAAAATTACGTTAACTTGTATTGCGATTATGCCTTCATATGACAAATGAAGGGGGGCTAACTGAGGAAAGTATTTTGCTAATTCAAGATTCTAAACTACCTGGTGCAGTACAGGAATAGGAGGGAGTTGGTTAATAGACATGGGTTCTAAGCCCATTGTTTAGACATACCTAAACATACCTAAACAATTGTGTTTCAGGATTTTTAAGGATTTCCAGAATTCAGCTCCACTCTATTTGTCCAAACAATATGTGACCAGAGTGGGACTATACAGAATAGAAAGAAATTCTTTAAAGTTTTGGGTAACAGAAGTGGGGAAAATAATCTACACAATCTGATTGTGTCCCAACCTTCGGTGTCATGAATCCGACAGCAGGGCTGTTAGTTTAGTGTGAAGAGAGATTCAGCAAGTTTGGTTTTGATGGCCATGGTCCAAGGAAGCCAAAGGCCACAGGCGGCTCTCATACCTGAGGCTGAAGAGAACGTTTCCATCCGGGTGTACTCGAAGCATGATGTTCTCCACCGTTGTGTCATGGATGAAGGATCTTTTAGAATGGACAAAGAAGATATCAGGCACCCAAATCTTTTGTATCAATCTGTGATCGAAGGTCATGCTCTTGTTTGTAGTGCTAGGAAAGGCGAGCCTCTCATCCTTCCAATAGTGCCTGAGATAAAAAGTCATTGTAAAGTCCTGGGCACAGAGAAAAGGACCAGTGAGAACCAGTGCTCAGATCATCACTTCAGCCTTATGAACTCACTAATGGTCACAGTGTTCATGGTTGTAAGTTATTGTTTGTATTGCAGCTTCAGAGAGATGTAGGATGAAGCTAACCCTCACTTTTCCTCATACCTCTTCTCCACTCCCATCTCCAACTTCTTCCCATTCCCTTTCTCCCCTGCTTCCTGCTTCCTTTCTTTCCCTTCTACTTCCTACTTCTTTTTAATCATGGTCCTACTATTGAAATACAGTCCATGTTTTAACTCAGGATCCTGTTGCCTTGGCCTCCTGAGGGCTGGAACTATAGCATATGCCACCAAAGTTAAGAAAAATCTGTGCAAGTATTCACCTTTAAATTTGTTTTTATGTTCATCAGTTTGTATTTTTTTTAACGGATCTCCCACTAGACACTACAGTCGCACAAGAATGTGTGTAAACACAGTATTTATTAGTAGAAAGCAAGTGGTTGGAGGTTCAAGGCCGCATTTGATGCTTGGAAGGTAGAAAGGATACTGTGAAGTGATGCTTTCCACAAGAATCACTTCTGAGGCTTGTTGAGATGCTCACTCACTAGAAGCAAGTTGCCAGTGTTCCTAGTTCAGAGAACAGGGCTCATTCTGAACTGGCATTGCATACACTAGCTGTAATGCCAGGCTTTGCTGACTCCCCATGGGAGGCCATACCTTTTTGGAGGAAGGGATGGGGGATGGGCTTGTGGGGAAGGCTTAGGGGAAGCAGGAGGAGGGATGAGGGCAGATCTGTGGTTAGTATGTGGAATGAATAAAAAATTTCTTAATTAAAAAAAAAGAATATGGCAACAAGGGGTAGGAACCTATGTTAGCATCCTGTTTCACACAGTTCAAGGGGCTGAACTGATATCATGCATGCCAGCTGTAAGAATAATGATAAAGCACAGGGACAAACAGCCAAACTAGTCGAAACACATCAACTATGAACCAATGGCTGAGGAGCCCCCAACTGGATCAGGCTCTCTGGATAAGTGAGACAGTTGATTAGCTTGAACTGTTTGGGAGGCATCCAGGCAGTGGGACTGGGTCCTGTACTCAGTGCATGATTTGGCTGTTTGAAACCTGGGGCTTATACAGGGACACTAAGAGACAAAGTACATCAAAAGACCCATAAATTGCATTTTACTTGGTGCTGGGTACCTGCAGAGAGTATTTGTTATTTACCTGCACACATAATCGAAACAAAGGAAACCCATGTAAAGAGGGCAGAAGACACAACAAAACGGGGAGTGGGGATGGATGGGGGAGGGGCAACTCAGCTAGCATGGTTCCAGGGACAAACCTGACTGGCGCTTCATGGGATTGAAGGAAGACAAACACACACGCGGACAGGCAGAAATCTGGGATTGTGTGGTCCGGGCTCTCTGCTGGAGAAGCCTGTGTACCTAGGACCTTCAGCTTGTTTATTATATAGACTTTGAAGGGACAGCAGCGTTGTTGCCCACAGCTGAGCAAGGAAGCCTGTTATTACACACAGCTGGACAAGCAGGCAGGGTTTATAGTATACAGCTGGGTCTAGGGGTCAGGTTTAGCTAATCTCTGAAGGAGCAGTCTTCAGGCTGTAAATGTTGGGCGAGGGGTGAAGCTATGATGTCTATATTTCACACATGGACCAGAAGAGAAGGCTTTGGCATCACTCCATGGGTCTGAGGCTCTGGGCTCCTGTCAATAGCATACTTGGGACTTTCCTCACTCAGGACTTCTTCTGTTCCCTGGCAACCATTCGGTGAAGGCGAAGGCGAGGGAAGGACCACTGAAAATGTGTCTTAGAAAGGCGCTGTATTTGGCATGCAAACGTAAAGGAAAGAACTCATCAAAACCCAGACCATATAAAATGAACATAAAACAAGGAGGTAAAAAAATCCACCTGAAAATGAAGCATTCAAGTATGAAAGCTGGGCCAGCATCAGCTCTTGTTACAGTAAAATACCTGCAATGCTGAAAATCACTTAAACGAAAAATGATTCGGAAAGTTACCTAGACAAAGAGAGTCCTTATACTACATCAAAAATAGGGAAAATGAAATGGAAAAAGTATGGTCGAGGCATTAAAATACAAAAGTGGCTAAAAATGATGAAATCAGGTTACAGAAGGGAAAAGGCACAAAAAGCAGGTAGAGTGGGTTGGAGGACTGGGGAAGGCTAAAAGGGAGACTGATAGTAAAAGGTCATTTTTAAGTATTTTCTTTTTGAATTTCACTTCTATCTGAAAATATTGATTTTATTATTTAATAGACATTCTATTCATCCTGATACTTTATTCTCTCTTGTTTTGAAGCTTTTATCTTTTTTTTTTTTTTTGGTTTTTCGAGACAGGGTTTCTCTGTGTAGCTTTGCGCCTTTCCTAGAACTCACTTGGTAGCCCAGGCTGGCCTCGAACTCACAGAGATCCGCCTGCCTCTGCCTCCCGAGTGCTGGGATTAAAGGCATGCACCACCACCGCCTGGCATTTTGAAGCTTTTAAATGTGTATTCTTGTGAAGTTTTTCAAAAGTGGCTTTTAGATATTTTTTAATTTATTTTTCATAATCTGTAGGTTCTTTATATCAGAGTTCAGAGCTTACAAGTACAGGTGAATGGATAGTAATATTTTCCTGGAAACACAAAATTTGGGAATAAACATTTTTTAAATAAATCTTTTTGGTGTATGAGCTATAACATGTATAGTTATTTCTATAGACAAAAGTTTTGAATTTATTTGTATCCAACAATTTAGTCTTTCTTATTTTTTCTTCCCAATATGCATATGTATATAAAATTATTATATATCCATTTTCATATATGACTATAAATGAAATAGTGATTTTAAAAATAAAAAAATGTTCTATGAAATATAGGTATTACATTGGAATGCAAAACATCAAGCTCGTCTATATTTCTATAACATACTGTGGTGATATTGTGTCCCCCAATATATTGTGCACCCTAATAAACTTATCTGGGGTCAGAGAATAGAACAACCACTAGATAGACATAGAGGCCAGAAAATGGTGGCACATATGCCTTTAATCTTAGTATTCTGGAGGCAGAGATCCATCCAGATCTCTGTAAGTTCAAAGCCACACTGGAAACAGCCAGGCATGGTGGCACACACCTTCAATCCCAGCCCTTGAGATCTCATGTCTTGCTAGGGAAAGACACATGCCTTTAATCCCAGGAAGTGATGGCAGGAAGCAAAAAGGTATATAAGGTATGAGGACCAGGAACTAGAGGCTTTTATGATTTTAAGCTTTTAGGCTTTCAGCAGCAGTATAGCTGAGATCTATTTGGATGAGGACTCAGAGGCTTCCAGTTTGAGGAAACAGGATCAGCTGAGAAGTTGGCAAGGTGAGGTTGGATGCTTGTTCTGATCTTTCAGCGTTCACCCCAATACCTGGCTCCAGGTTTGTTTTTATTAATAAGAACTTTTAAGATTTGTGTTACAACATACCATGGGATAACCAAAATTTTCTAAATTAAATGTGCTGATCATGAATCTTAAAATGTCCCTATCTTCTGATATTGGTTATTTAGAGACAAGCAGAATTAATATCAACAGAAACACCTGGAAATAATAAAGCTCGGCATAGCAGTCTATCATTTTATGAACAAGGCCCTGGGGCTGAGATTTTATAGTTCACAAACTGTGTGGCTGTTTTTCTTTGCACACTTGCTTTCAAACTGTGACAGACAGCAAATTTACCATGATATTCTGCAGGAAGCCGTACATGAGAAATCATGAGACAGAAACAGGGGAGGAAAGAATCTGAGTGTCATCAGGGGGAGAAAGAAGTGAATGGAAGAGAGAAAAGCAACCACAACCCTGCTATGATGGAAAGTAGGAAAGACTAATAACTGAAATGGCTTATTCAAAAAACCAATGGTTTCAAAACTATTATTTTATTCTTTTCAGAGAAAAGCTCAGTACCCTATGGGAAAACTCACCATGTCGACCTCTGAAATGCTGTCGATGCTTTCAACCTGGACATCTATACCTACTGGTACTGGGGAACCTTCAGAAAGAAAAATGAAAAATTTACTGAGAAATGCATTTTAATCATTTTGGACATCTTCCAAAACTAAGAAAGACCATTGTTCAACAATTGAAGGTGATTTATTTTTTCCAATATCTTTATTCATCATTTCCCCTATTTTCTATTGAATCAATTATCATACCCTCAAATGTAATAACTAAGGCACATGCACGAATAAATGCTACTCTGATCATCATTGCTCACTTGCATGGAAAATCCTAAAGATTTCCTTGTACAATATATTCTAGAACTGGTGTTTTCAGTTTTCTTATTCTGTGTTTTGGTTGGTAGGGATACAAAGAGTAACAATGTTTTGGAAACATGTAAAAACATGTCAGATCATGCACTTCATATAATAGTGGCAGTTCAGTGAGTTTTATAGAGTCCTTGGCTTTGGAAATGTCAAATCCATTTCTCTCCCCCACTGCCAGCCCTTTTCATTCATGAAGCAGTTTGTGGTCGAGAGATAGACAGATTCTCAAATGCTGCAGACTCAGATATGTCTCCTTGTAGATCAGCATCCTTGGAGGGCACTGGGGAAGAAGCAAACAGTCTAGAGACTTGCTCGATGAAACACACTCAGATAGAAACAGAAGCATTCTCAGACAGTGGACTTCAAACTCACTGGCAGCTGGGGCTCCTGGAACCGGGTAAATGGCAACCTGTGGCATTTTCTAGTTCCACTAAGAAGGGATTTCAACTCTCTCTCTCTCTCTCTCTCTCTCTCTCTCTCTCTCTCTCTCTCTCTCTCTATTTAGGAGGATTGCTGTTAAATAACTTTATCATTTAGTTTGGGGCATAAAATTTGATCTGCATCTATGTTGACACAATCCATATGTTTACATATAATCTCTGCATGCATTTTCTTACTGTAATAAGTCATTCTCATTAATCATATTGCCTTGTTGAGTTAAAAAGAACTTTCAGCTACTAACCAGTAAAGATTAATCCTGCACAGCTGAGTCCCAGCTGTTTAATCAAGATGTTGGGATTTAGATGAATCCATTCTGAGAAGCTTCCACACTTGGCTAAAGAATGACTGAGTGTGTTGTATGTGACACACATATGAACACAATTCAGCAGTCTTCTAGATGCATAATGCAGTATAAAACAAGCTAACTCCTTTGATACTCTTCTGGGACCTCATTAATTCTTGATGCTGACTTTATCAACAACACATTCCCCTTTTGTTTATTATCATTTACTACTTAGAAGAGTGTCAGCTAGCCAGGTACTTGGCCTATCACTCAAATATCTTCATGTCTCACCCTGTATGAATGCCTTACTTGTGTAATAACGACCATCTTCTTAGCACATGGGATCAGTTAATTTGTATGACATTCATCCTATAAATGGCATTGTTTATTGCAGATTCTGATTCCACATGAACTTGGGAACAGCTTAGCATTATTCCTTTGCAGGGCTCAGCATTGGTAATTTTTGCATTTGCCCTTTTTCTTGAATTCATAATAAAATAAAAATTCATGAAAACATCTCATCCATACCTCTACTTGGCAATTCATGGTGAATAAATCTTCCCATTAATTCTAATACTGTGAGGGAATGAGATTTTGAAAGGTCTTGAAGGGGTGGCAGAATGTCCTGGATAAAGCATGAGCATGGCTTCATCACAGTTATATATTATGGAGTAAGAAATATCTCCAAAGTTTGGTTTCTTCCAATGTAAATTCTGTACAGAGATACTCAAAGAGTTCCACTACAGGCCATAAACAGTACAGTTTATAGACTTAAGAGACTTAATTGGACCTTAATAAATTAATGTTACTTGCTCAGTTAAGCAAAAATGCAAGCCTGCTTTTTGGAAAGGCAAGGCACTACTCTTAATTAAACATTCAAACATATAGGTTATCACTTAAACACTCAAACATGTAGGTTATCATATAGGTCACACACACACACACACACACACACACACACACACACACACACACACACACCCCTATGGTGATTTCCCACCACTCATTTTCTGATGAAGCCAGAGAACAGCTTGGATTTAGGATCTTTTAAGGACAATTGGCCATTTGAGTCCATGGGTTTCATTATCTGTGGACTCGGTCAATTTCAGTTAAGATATTCAAATCTGTCTGTGAACTGAACATGAACTACTTTTTCCTCATCATTATTTTCCAAACAAGCCTTATTAACAACAATTTACACAGCATTAACATTGTACTGGGCATTGGAAGTAAGCTAGAGACAACTGAAAGATCATGGAAGAATTGATATAGGACATATGCAAGTGCTGTGCCATTTTGTATAAAGGACTTGAACATCTGCACTAGTTGGTGTCTTTTTAGGTAATGGTGCAGGCCAGGAAACTATTCTTCAAGATATGAAGAAAGGAGTGCATATCCTCATTGGTGGCTGTTTCTGAAGTCCTGGGGACACTGTTACAAAGCTAGCTTTCAATGGTATATTCACACTACTGCTGGCCAGGCTCTTGTTACAGTGAAGAAAATACACAGCTTGGTCATTTGAAACGAGTTCTTGTTGTCTTCTATTTCTTCTTTCTTCCATTAAGATTTATACTATGATATGGAGATGAGCTTCTCAGACTCCACAGACAGTGTGGGCCTGTGGATACTGTCTGGTCTCATGTGTGTCTCCTTTGAACTCTATGTCAAGGGCACCCAACTCTTGGGTATGAGAACCTGTGCCCTGACACTTGGGGGCTGAGTAGAAAGTGAAGGGAATGTAAAGGCAAGATTTAGAGTTACAGAATATTGGCTGCTAACCAAACCTCCAAACACCATTCTTGTGCTAAAAAAGCAGAGTATTAGAGCAAGTGACAGCTAAACACAGGTGTTAAAATGCCAAAATATAGCCATATAAAACCAAAGTAGGGCTAGAGTTCCATGTGTCTCCTTAATCTTCATATTTTTGTTTGCTAATCTCTAATTAGAACAATATGGTACCCACCTTGTAGGGCTATTATGAGAATACATAAAGGAACGCATACCACGTCCTGCCCTTAACCCCATTCAAATGTTCTGCTCCCTAACATTTACTTTCTGTTGGGTGAACAATGGACTTAACATCATAAATGATAATACCTTTATAATAAGAACTTGGCTCAAGTTTATATGTAAAAATCAAGTAAAAGTTAACCCTTTTGACTATTAACTTCCAAGGATTGTATCCATCTCTGTAGTGTCTTTATAATACAATACACAATGTGTCATCTCATATCCATACAGGCACTCCATTAGTTAGGTACACATGGTTTTTTAGCTCTAGCTGACCTCTGTATGAACTTATGTGGATAAATAAGAACTCTCATTTGAAATCCCGAGAAAGGTAGTGGTAGGGATGGGAATAAGTCCTTCTGACTCTCAGGCCTGTTGTGTGACATGTGGAGACGGTAAGCAGCTTTGATAATGTTAGCTTTTGTCTCAACTCAGCAGCCAGAATCTAGGTGCTGAATTGACTTTCGAGAAACAAAGAGACCATCATCTGGGAGACTGAAACAAAACATCCTTAGTTATAGGAGACATAGTGGGCGGGAAAACATAAATAAAGAAAATGAGCTGCAATTTATAACCCAAGTTAAACAAGAAGCTCCCTAAATTTACATCCTCCTGTTTCCACATAATGAGTCAATTAATCTTCTAATGCTTTATAAAAGTGAAAAGAAGAAAAAAAAAAAACCCACCCCGGTAGCAGCTGGTTTTAATGTTAAACCTAATTAGGAAAACACATTAAGGCAAGGAGAAGTGCTGAAGTTACATTTAGCTGAGAGGAGAGAAGTATGTTCATGAGCTTGGGCTGTAGACAAGTAGAAGAGAAGGGAGATAAATTAAGGCTTGTCTTTTCTATTCCACAGCCTGATTTCCCAAAGGAAAGCAGCCGTTTGAGAACAGAGAAATGAGTCACCATGGAAGGCACGGTTCTGCTCAAGCTAAGCAAACGAAGGTTAGAGACCATTTCACAGAGCTAGTAGACGGACACTTCTGACTGGACTTGTTGAGTTTTCCTTCCTGGATCACCGAACAAGCCATCTGAACACCATTTAGCCCAGCCTATGATGGTGAGAAGAATTTCTTAATTGTGAGATGATCTGCCACCTGTCACTAAGTGTGAGTCGCATGTTTCAATTTTGTATTTAGTAATCTCATAAAGTAGCCTCAGGGAAAATAATTTAGGAAGGCATTATCACTTAAAATATTAACATGTATTCCTTACAGATCAGGTATAGAGGGAATTTGGGGCCAATGCAATGCTTTTCTGGAGGTGAGAATGTTGCCAAGGGTGGAGGATGAAAGCATAAATATTTTACCTTGAAGGAAGGTGCAGGCTTAGTATTCTGCAGCATCCATAGCCCCTCACTTGGGCACCCTGTTACCATGTGGAGTTACAACGCAGGCTTTGGGCCTGAGCTTCAAAATTTAACAGACTCCCTGGTGCTTCTGCACAATCCTTGGAACACATTGAGTAATAAGGTGTCTGTGGATTGTTTGTTTTAAGGTCCACTAATAAGCATAGTCATTTCTCTCTTTCTTGCTAATGTCCCTAAAAAAGACCCTACTAAACAACAACAACAACAACAAAACCAACAACAACAACACCTCTTCTTCTACCACAGAGAACAATTTAATTGAGGAACCTAGCTTCCAGGAATTATGGCTTGAAGTCATAGCTAGAACAGTAAGAAACCTGAAGGAGGTGAAGGGGATACAAACAGGATAGGAAGACATCAACATGCCCTTCCCTAAAGACTCCACCTGAACCCGGGCGGCGGTGGCACCCGCCTTTAATCCCAGCACTCAGGAGATAGAGCCAGGTGGATCTCTATGAGTTCGAGGCCAGCCTGGTCTACAGAGTGAAATCCAGGACAGGCACCAAAACAATGCAGAGAATCCCTGTCTCAAAAAACAAAAAAGCAAAAACAAACAAACAAAAAAAGACTCCACCTGAAAAATGCCTACAGCTGATACACACTTCCAGCAAAGTTATCAGGATACAAAACTAACAGACAGAAACCAGTCGCCCTCCTGTATACGGATGACAAACCCACTGAGAAAGAAATCAGTGAAACAGTACCTTTCACAATAGCCTCAAAATAAACAAAATAAATAAACATCAATCAATCAATCTTGAATTCCTGAGAAGATGCATCTCTAGGTATTGTCAGCTCTGTCTGAGGTCAGTTTCTAACAATTCATGTGCAAATGGCGTCTCCTAGTGGCTGCAAAGGATACAACTCCAAGCCACTTTACCTGATCTTTAGAAATTGCAGAATCAAGGGAACTGCATCATAGTTGTAGACTATATTATCCAAACTTTGGAAGACCTTTTTCTGGGGAGAGCATCAGTTTATTGAAAATGCTAGTTAAGGTTTTTTTGAAATCTTTTGTCAGAGAAATAGTGAGGTAGAGAAAGAAAAAGAGAGTTTCAAAAGGACAGTGAAATGAATACCTTTTGTTTTAAAATTAGCATACCTTACTGATTCTTTGGTAATTTTACACACACACACACACACACACACACACACACACACACACACACACACACACACACACACACAATGTATCTTAGTCATATCCACACTGATGTCCCATTCTCTCATTGGATCCTAACATGAATCCTGCCCACTCTCCATGTCCTCTTCCTTATTTTTCTCTTTGAAAAATCAAGCCCAATTAGTGGTGCTAGCTTGAGCATGGGCAGACTTTCAGTAGCTACACCCTCAAGGAAAAATGATGCTGTCTCCTTGGGGAGACATCAATTGCCAATAGCTCCTCAGCGAGGCACGAAGCTACAAAATCCCCTCCCCTACCCGTGCTGGAATTATTGACTGGCTTGATCCTGTGCTGGGCTCCTGCAAGTATGTTCTCTGATCAGATATGGTGCTTAATCCACAGGAGGAAATTGTTTCCTAGTAATGTAAACCTGATAATAGTCACTGGGGATGTCTTTAGACTAGGAGGGGAAGGCATTGTCAAACTGCCTTCTAGACATGCACATTTATACCTATAGACTAGTGCTGCTCCCAGCCTTGGTCACAGAAGCTTCTTGGCAGCAGGTAGCAGTCAGTTCAGAGACTCATAACGCCTCAAACTGCTGAGAATACATGACTGCAGAGTGCTTAGCACTAAATAAACACATCTTTAAACCTGATTAATTTCCAGTCTTCTACGATTGTAAATTGAAATTCAACAACTGTGATTAAACACTCCAGAAAACAAAAAGTAACAAACTCACCAAGACTTAAATCTGATGATGGTGAGTTAACCCAGCAGCCCTCAGAGTGCGATTCTCAGAGCCACAGCATCAGCATTCTTGACCGTGCAGTGTCAGCAGCACCTGCCAGCTGTGCGAACTCTCAGTCTCACTTACGTCTAGTCATTCAGGAATGCTGGAGATGGGGCCCAGGGCCCTGACTGCTAAGAGCCTTCCCCACTGTTCCGATGATCAGAACAGTCTGAGTCACTAATAAAATGGAGTTTAAGCCAGGTCTTTAGAATTGCAGCCCTGGCCGTGCAGTGGTGTTACACATCTTTAATCCTAGCGCTCTCGAGGCAGAGGCAGGTAGATCTCTGTGTTCGAGGCCAGCCTGGTCTACAAATGGAGTTCCAGGACAACCAGGGATGTTACACTGAGAAACCTTGTCTTAAAAAAAAATCACAAAGGAAGAGATGAACCTGGTATTTAAAATAAAAATGTATTTTGATGGCAAAAAAAAAAAAGATTAGAATTGTAACCCACTGGTTCCCAGAAAATTACCAAAGAAAACCAGGGGTTGAGGAGATTGCCAATCAGGTAAAGTGTAAGGGTAATAACCAAAGTATGGATCTCTGCTGGATGGGCACAGCAGCCTGCCTATAACTTCAGCACTGGGAAGGTAGGGACACAGGATTCCCTAGGGAGCTGCCTAGCCAAACTAGCTATACCAATGAAGTCTGCATTTAACTGAGAGGAGTTGCCACTATGAGTCATGTGCGCTGTGATTATGGAAGATTCCCAAAGTCATCTCTGGGCTACTGAATGCATATGTATACATGTGAACCCACACTAGCACACATGAGCTCATATATATGTGGACACCCATTTATACATGCATGTACAGAACACACTGACACATGCAAAAAAAGAAAGAAAAAAGAAAAAGAAAAAAATCACACCAAATCATAACAAACCAAAACAGCCTTCTACATAACAGCTGCTTGATAATTTAATTTTTTCCCATAAGTGCATTAACTTTCCATGGCATCTACATGCCTGCCTGCTTTCCCTTGGCTCTGAGCATAATATGCAATGACTATCACATTTCTCCCAACTCTCTCTCGTCATTGGTTATACATCCAAATTGGTTATTCATCCAATGCTTTAGTGTCAGAAGGGCTTGTTTCTTCTTCTACTTTCCCCTTATTTTCATATTTCAGCATATTTGAAAACTGTCAGTTTGAGAGATGTGGGGGTGAGATTTTGTTTCCATAAAAAAACACATAAACAAAAACCAACCAGGTGAACTCAAAGAAATTTAGTTTAGCTGGAAGATGTCATGCTCCCTGTGCATCCCTGGAAAATGTGGCCCCTCAATGATGAAACCATGTAGAAGAGCCCCAAGGGAAGAACACTATGCTCCACAATGCTCCTCTGCTGGGTCCCTGATTCACCATCCCCACCTGCCATCTCATCTTGTTTCCACTACTTACTACTTGGTTTCGGGATGCTTTCTAACCTCCGTAACCATGGGTTTCTACATGGGAACGTGAAGGTTCATAATGGTGCCTATTTGTAATAATTGTGAAGGTAAATGGTACAGTACATTAAAGGGCTTAATACAGTGCCAAATCTTAAAAAAACAAAACAGTTTTAATTGCTAAAAGCATTAAAAAGGAGAAAAATACACTCAGCAGAGGGAGTCGTGGCATTGGATATTATTATTGTTCTTCCATTAAAGCCAGGTTTTCTGGCTTGTAGGAATAACCAGTCATCCAATTAGCATCACATCATCCAATTCAGCTTATAGTAGAAATAGCAAGTTGCTATGTTGCACAATTATCTGTCTTCCAAATATTGAACACATTCTACTTGCAAGAGTGTGAAAAACAGAAAAAAAAAAGGAGTTCAGGGGTCAATATAAAATGTAGGCGTAGTCAATTGTTCCCAGTCAAGAGAAGATAATCATACAAGTATTTAAAAGTGTTTATTTATTTATTTACTTACTTACTTTAGCAGATGGCTTTTACTAGAGTTTTTGGACTAATTGCTTCAAATTTTCCCATCTTGAGAGTGCAGTAGGCTTCAACATTGATTTTTGATGGTAACACTCACCTCCAAATCCAGGCCTCGTGGAGAAATCATGGTCTTCAATGTGCAACAACTGCTCCCGTTTCAGGGGCCAGACTTTAGTACTGTCGTCTTTCTTCATTCCGGTTTCCCTTATGCTGTACCCCCCAAGAAAAAAGACACAAATGTCTTAGTTAGGGTTAGTTTTGCTGTGATGAAATATCATGACCAAAGCAACTTGGGGATGAAAAAGGTTTATTTGGCATATGCTTCCACACCCACAGTCCATTACTGAAGGAAGTCAGAACAGGACCTCAAACAGGACAGGAACCTGGAGGCAGGAACTGATGCAGAGGCCATGGAGAGGAGCTGCTTTCTGGCTTGCTCCCCATGCCTCCTTTCTTCCTTCCTTCCTTCCTTCCTTCCTTCCTTCCTTCCTTCCTTCCTTCCTTCCTTCCTTCCTTCTTTCCTTCCTTCTTTCCTTCCTTCCTTCCTTCCTTCCTTCCTTCCTTCCTTCCTTCCTTCCTTCCTTCTTTTAGCATTTTTGAAAAACTTTTTGTTGATTCTTTGTATATTTCGCATCATGAATCCTGATTCCACTCATCTCCCTGTCCCTTTGTATCTACCCTCTGCCCTTGCAACCTCCATTTCAAAATAAAACAAAATTTAAAAGAAAAACAAAAACCAAAAACCTAAAAAACCAAACCAAACCAACCAACCAAACAAACACAAGTCTTGGCATGGAAGCTGTAGTGTGACATAGTGAGTCACATAGTTTACCCTTTAGTCCATATGTCTTTACTCATTAAGTGTTCATGGCAATGAGTCATTGGTCTGGTTGGAGGCCTCTGGCTTCCACTACACCATTGACACTGGGCCCTCATTGGGACTCCTCTTGGATGTCCTGTTGTTGTCTTGTGTCATGGAAATCCTGCAGCTTTGGATCTGCAGGTCCTGCCCCTTCACATCCTCCAGCAGTTCATAGGTGGGGAGAGCAGGCCTTGAAATTTGGGTCTTACACTTCACCTGGGCAAAACAGTAGAGCTGGCCCTGGTGGTGTGAATGCAGGTGAGCTGGCTCCGAGGGTTGAGAGCAGGAGAACTGGCCCTGCTCCTTGATGCCTGCTGCATCGGGTGAGTTAGCCAGGGCAGTGCTGGAGAGCTTTCCCTGGTGGTGACGTTGAGGGAAAACTGGCAGGCTAACCAACCCAGTTACCACCCAGGCCCAGAACCAGGGCTATGAGCTGGCCCAGCCTGCTTTTTTATCGAACCCAGGATCACCAGCTCAGGGGTGGCACCACCCACAATGGGCTTGGTTCCCCTTGTCTTGTTAACCACTAATTAGTAAGTGCCCTACAGCCAGACCTTACGGAGGCATTTTCTCAATTGAGGTTTCCTTCTTTCAGATAACTCTAGTTTGTGTCAAGTTGATATAAAACTAGCCAGCTCAAAATACTTTTAAGATACATATATTTCTCATTATTAGCCATCTTGCTTAACATAGTGTGCTCTGAAATAAACCATAAAATCTCATTCTGTTAGTTCAGAATAAGCCAAATATCTGCCAACATTTGTTTTTTTTTTGTTACATAAGGATAGAGCAGGTAAGGTAAAGCAAATTTTAGAGTATTTGAAATAGCAAAGAAAGAGGGATTTAATACATAAGCAGACAACATTTCTCAGAATATGTATGTTAAATGAGAAATATTATGTGGGTGAAGGTGATCCAAGTTCAGATTCACAGACCACCCACATCAGCTAAGGCAGCCCTTGAGGAAAGAATGCCCAGGGATGAGCATTTCAACAAGACACCTTGTGGAAACAGCCCAGGGATGAGCATTGGAATCACACACCCAAGAGACCGACATTGATTGAACAATCTCTTCATTAAAGCAGTCAAGAAGCGAAAACATTACAAAACTGTAAACTGATGAAAACAGGGATTTCAAAGCCAGAATAAGTATAGACTATGGGGACAGGCTGAGATTGCAGGCAGAATGCCTGCTGGAGGTTGTAGGGCTCCGGGGGTGTTGGACCTGGGCAAACCCAAGAGTGACATAGGCAAAGTCCATTGCCACCTTTCCTTCTCTAGGTCAAAGAGTGCCTGGCAAGCTCCTTTCTGTGGTGTTCTGATGTTGAACAAAGTCCTGTCTCTCCAGGCATCTGTGAATGTGAGCAAGGTGCTGGGACACTGGGACTGCTTTTCTGCCTTGGGTACCATTTCCTAGGAACACTGATGCAAATTTTAACAAAACAGTTTTGGAAGCAATTGATTTAAATTCTTTCTTTCTACACTTATCTGTCTATCTATCTATCTATCTATCTATCTATCTATCTATCTATCTATCTATCTATCTATCTATCTATCTATCTATCTGTGTGTGTGTATGTGTTTCCCAATGGACACTCTTGTGTAGGACAGAAGACAACTTGTGGAATTCTCTTGTTGCCTTCCATGCTGTAGATCCTGGAGATTGAACCAAGGTTCTCACCCTCAGTAGTGTCCCCTGAGCCATTTCACTGGCACTGGAGGCATTTTCCTGACTCCAGAAAATGACTCTGACTAGGAGGATTTCAGATGCTGAAGCAGCTGATGGAAGAGGTATATTAGGGTTTGTGAGGCAGAATCTGGATGAATCCTCAGTGGTTTAGAGATGTATTCTTTTTCTAATAATATGAACGGATAAGTTCAGGAAAGGAATCTCTTTTTGATAGAAGGCAATGAATTTGAATTTAAATATATTAAGTCATTATAGCCTCTGAATAACTAAACACACTGAACTATTTCTCCCAAGAAGCTAGAATAAACTAGAGAAAACCTTCTAAGGAGCTAGGATAAACTATTTATTTAAAAAAATAATGATAGAGGACTGGGGAGATACTCATCATAAAGTACTTCCTGAGCAAGCATGAAAACGTAAATTTGATCCCTATAACTACCCCCCACCAAGTGAGTCATGGTAGCACATGTGTTTGTAATCCCAAAGACATAGACAGGAAGATCTCTGGGGCTTGCTCATCAACCAGAAGCCTAATTGATGAGCCCAGGTCAATTAGAAACCCTGTCTCAAGACACAAGGTAGAAAACTCCTGAGGAAGCAGAACTGAGTTTGACTTCTGGCCGCCACATATATGCATATACAGGTGCACCCACATGAACACCACCCACACACACCTGTACACAAATAACAAGAGGTAGTTTTCAAGTAATGCCTATTATGTCCAAGACATCAGCCCAGATGTTTGGCAAATATGATCCTAACTGGCAAGCATCCAGCTCTTCTGGTTTCCTGGGTCTCTGCCCAGAGTTTCTGATTCAGTAGGTTTAGGGTATAAAATTTGCTTTTGAAACATTTTTTTTCAGGATAACTTGTTCCTGTAGAAAATAGCACATAGTTAATAAATGCTGGCTACTTGTTTTTGTAAATAAGAAAGTGTAGATGTAACATGTAACAGGAAATTTGTAAAAATTACTCCTTTGGTAATAATATTTTGGATACAACTAAATGACATGTGACTAATGTGTCTTTTCAGGAAGCATTCTTCTGCAGGAGACTGAAATACAGATGCATTTTAATTAAGAACTCCAAGAATGCTGAGCAGAGGCCTGCTGTGAAGTGCTTTCTGGGCCACAGTGGGGTACAGGGACCTGCTCTTACCTGACCTGAGTGGTCCATGTTTATCTCATCTTGATTTCCTTTTACCTTAACTTCTTTGCGAAGAGAATATGTTGGTTGTACCCTCAAAACAGATTTTTACAAATTTATGCACTTTACCATACATGTTTAAAAAAAATACTTAAAGGAACTGGAGAGATGTCTCAGTGGGTAAGAGTGTTTACTGTCATACAAAGAACAGGTGTTTGGGTCCCAGTTCCCACATTGGGTGACTCAGAACAGCCTGTAACCTCAGCTCCAGAGGATCTAACACCTCTAGCTACATAGGCACCTACATTTACAACCCCTCCAGACATACACAGACACACTCTCATGAGACACACACCCCACACACAATTAAAAATTATAAAATAATTCCCCCAAACAAATATAAATAACCTCTATAATCCTTTCATCATACATTGAAAAATATTTAGATATTGATATGTAGAAGAACATTTTTCCTTTAAATGTACCCAGTGAACTTGAATACATACATTAAGTATTTAAAAATATATGAATAAATTCTTCTTTAAAATATCAGAAAATTTATATTACTTATTTTCTTAGTACTTGTATTTCCATTACTTGCTTCATAGAATTTTATTATTCATCATATAAGTATGTTTGGGAAGAAAATATGTACATACATTGATATTAACTTTTAAATTTTGTATTACCATCACAAAGAGAACAAAATAAAATTTATATAAATGTTGATTACTATTAAATTTAAGAATAAAACTTTAGTGAAAATGAATTTGTTAATGAAATGGTGATATATTTTTCTCATTATTTTATGTGTTAAATGGATTTAGTCATTGTTAGAATGAAGCTAGGTTTTGCCTACATTCCTTTTTTTAGTTTTATAGATGAAAATACTGAATTTTGTTCATGTATGTGTAATTACATTGAATTTCAAGAAAATTTTTTCATAATGTTTGAAAAATATAACTGAATTATCTAAATTTATTCTGACTTATTTTTTCATTTTTTATTAAGAAATTTTTTTTCATTTTACACACCAGAGATTCTCCTCTTCTCTCCTCCTGCCCCCCCCACTCTCCCACCCCAGCATTTCCCCTCAACCGACCCCCTATCCCCCCCTGACAAGAAGGCAAGACCTCCCATGGCAAGTCCAAGCCCTTCCCCCTGCCTCAAGGCTGCATGAGGTAGTGGGCTCCAAAAAGCCCCCTCATGCACCAAGGATGGATTCTGATTCTACCGCCAGGGGGGTCCCTCAAGCAAATCAGAGCTTTTCTCCAATGACTGACGGAAACAGATACAGAGATCCACAGTCAAACACCAGGCAGAGCTCCAGGAATCCAGTCAAAGAGAGAGAAGAGGGATTCTATGAGCAAGTGAATCAGGATCATGATGGGGGAACCTGCAGAGACGACCAAACCGAACTAGTGGGAACTCATGAAAGTTGGATCAATGGTTGAGGAGTCTGCATAGGACTGGACTAGGCCCTCTGCATGGTGAGACAATTATTCTGACTTA